CCAGCGTGGCTCCTCGGAGCTGTTGGCTCCGCGCGGGCTCCAGCCCGTGACTCTTCCCCTCACCAAACCGCTGCTGGAGGCCACGTGGGTTGAGCAGAGCTGCGACTCCCTGGTGTAAACAGACTCCGAGTGCTCAGTGCCCGTAACCCAAGGAGCGAGAAGCATTATAGCCCATCTCCAAAGGGTGGAAGTCCTTGGTGGGGGAAGAGATGAGTAGTAGCTACCTGTAGCTGGGATGGTTCCATGAGCCAGAACCCGAGAGCCAAATTAGCCAGGTGCCGAGACACGTTCTACGGCATTTATGTGATTTTATGACATGAAGCCCTGCAGTAACAGGGCTGCGGATTCACTGCCAGAAAAGATTTAACGGCGTTCTGTGTTTCTCTGACTCCGCAGGTGATGAGGCCAGGACGGCCGGAGAGGTTTGCTGGCTTTGCTGAAGTCACGCAGTCCAACCAGCCTTGCGTATCGGGGGAGAATAACCTCCTCACGTACTCGTTCAGCACGGCCTCCTTACACAGAAAGGCAGGTTAGCCAGGGAGGCTTCACAGATCTCAAGGTATGAAGCAAATATTTAAATGTGAAATATTTAAATACAACTTGTATCAGCCACAATAGCTACTCCACAGGAGCGAGTAGTTTATAATTAGGTCAAATAAACCCCGATGCCCGGAGCTCCCCGTGGAAGTGTCTCTGTGCTGCCTAACTTGACAGAAGTGGAGAGATGTGGTGTAGCCCTGCCTCTGACGGACGCTTTCGGACACGTTCCTGCCTTAGTGCCTCACGTTCCCCTCGTGAAACAGAAATCGTACCATGCTCCTTCGCGGGCTGCCTCGAGACTTCGAGGGGCAAGCTGCCGCAGTAGAAATTGTATCATCGAAAGTGCGGTGGTTTGAAGGTAATTCCGGCACTGGGAGTGGGCTGCTGTGCTCATTATCAGCATTAGAAAGGTATTCAGACTCCACAGGTCGCTTTTAGCTTGGGGCACTACTGAAAGACAACTGACGTGATTGAGCTGTCATACCAAAAGCCTTAGCTGAGGTGCAAAGCTTGGCCCAGCAACAGCCAAACTGATATTTTTATCTTGTCAGCCGGTAGCTAATGGCTTTCCAAAGGTTTTCCCCATCCTCCTGGGGGGAAAAAAATCAATTTAAAAATTTGCACATTTTTCTTCTTGTTGTTTTTGGCAGGAAAACTTCTTACTGCTCCTGACCAGCATCTGAAAAGTGATTCACTTCTTACAAATAGAAAGGTTGTGCCTGCTGGAAAAATAAACATACTGGGGGGGGGATTCTTTAATGAAAAATCTTTATTAAACTAGCCAAAATAAATGCTTGTTCGTTCTGCAGAGAGGAAGAAAAAGAAATAGCATTTCTTCAGGCTGGGTCAGTCCTGCAGAGGTAACCATGGCAGCCCAGGAGAGATGCGAATGGAGGGGATGGAATACGATGGATGGCAAATACGGCCGAACCAGCGATGTGTACATGAACGGCCGGACAACAGCAAAGGGACTTGGTGTCACTTCCAGAACGGGAGGAAAAAAAAATCCCCATGGGCACCACGTGATGCTCATTGTGCCGTGGCCACCCCCAGGCCCCGTGGGGGTCCCGCATCCTGTGCCGCGCTTCACCGGCCTCTCGCAGCTCCCCGCATTAAACGCAAACAGTGGGGTTTGCAGCTGGGCTGCTTCTCCAGCAGCCCGGGTGTGCTTCTCCAGCAGCCGCTTCACAGGGCTCCACCTCGGCCCCCAGCAAGTGGTTAATTCCCAGCGCGCTTCCCAACCTGCGCTCCCGCAGCGCAGCCGGGGCTGCATCACTGCGCTGGAGAATGATGGGGAGAAAAAGTTAAAATTGGCTTTCTGCACGTGGCTGGCTTTTATGGAACAGCTATTCTTTCTATTAATGTCGGCCTTAATAAAAACAACTGGACCAAGTCGTTTAATTCCAGGCTCACCGTGCCCAGGTGCAGTCAGTGTGAGCCGGTCCCTTGGGGACCCACCACCTGGGCCCCATCACTGTGGGACCCCGTCCCTTGGGGACCCACCCCCTGGGCCCCATCACTTTGGGATCCCGTCCCTTGGGGACCCACCTCCTGGGCCCCATCACTTTGGGGACCCCGTCCCTTGGGGACCCACTTCCTGGGCCCCATCACTTTGGGGACCCCGTCCCTTGGGGACCCTCCTGGGCCCCATCACTTTGGGGACCCCTCACCACGTCTTGTGGCCCACGGGGAACAAGCCAACGCTCTCCCTATGACCTTGGGGTTACAGCCAAGCCCCCCAGTCCTGCTCGCCAGGGCATGGCATGGGGACCTACGTGCTGGGGGGGGTGGTGGCTCTGTGGGCTACAGGGGACTCTTGCCCGTGAGGACACAGCGCTTCTCCCGTGGGGCCACAGTACTTCTCCTACGGGGACACTCGGAGGCCATGGGCAAGGCTTCGTTAGGGTCGGAGATCACGGGCCACATCCTGCATCTCACCCACGGACTGATGCAGCACCGCAGCAGGCTCCCAAACCACGAGGGCTTCATCCAGCCCTAAGAGGCAGCGACCTTCCCGACCTCCTGTTTCAGAAATCACGGCATCGGTTTGCCCCATTTTTACTGGCAGGGCGGAACGATCAAAAGCTCTTTGCCTTGATTAATGCAACAAATTAAATTACTCCTCCATCTTTCCTCTCCCTTGGCCCTATCACCAGCTGTCCCTGAGTGTCCCGAGGACGCCGTCCGCTCCTCGCCCCCGAGTGCCCGGCGGGGGGGGATGGCTCCCTCTCCAACGGGTTTTGGGGCAAGCAAAGCTACGGCAGCGAATGTCCTGAGGCAGAACACAATCCAGCGCGACCAGCCTCCCGCTTGCTAAAACTCTGCGTCTTTATTATTTTCTTGATATTAATGGTGTTTGGTAACAAAAAGGGTGAGGGACGGAGCAAAGCAGCCCCGTGCTGCGTGGGGCTACATGGGGAAGCCCAATCACAAGCAAAGACATCACAACTTGTCTTATTTTAACTTTTTTATTATTATTATCCTGTTCGTAGCAAAATTGTGGGCTGAGAGTTTAAAACGCAGCTACGCAAGAGAGCGGGGCCCTCTGCCAAGAGCCGCCTGCAAGAAGAGCATCCGAAAGGCTCTAAAACCAAGACGGAAGGAATGGGTGTGACACCTCACTGTTTTATTCTCGAAGGAAATAGGGGGGGAAAAAAAACC